ATGTTTGGAAAGGACCTTAGGATCATCTAGTTCCACCCCCCCTGCAACAGGCAGGGATACTTCCCAAGAGACCAGGTTGCTTAAGACACTGTCTAACCTGAATAAGTTGTTTTGATTTGGCCTGTCCTGAATCCCTTAGCCTCCATGGCTTAGCCTCTTAGTTAGCAATTTGTTACTGTCTTTATGAAAAGGGTAGAAAGAAACCAGTATGCTAAACCTAGATTTTTTAACAGTCCTTTTAATCTCAAACAGCTCTTCTGTTTAACCATCTACCTCTTAATATTCCTGAACAGTAAACACTTCTGTGAGAAAGATGCTGCTCATACACGCATCCTAGGAATGGATTGCTATGGAGGCACTCTTATTTGCCTGCAAATACTTCTGTTGACTGTTCTTCCTTTATTGTATGCTACTCTTGGGAAATTCACTGTAGTCCAGATTAACTGTTCTTAACCAGGCAATCATCAGGCTTCAAACAGCTCAGCAGGATCAACTGACTGATGACACAACCCAAACATGGAAGAAAACATATGCACAGTAAGTGTGTTGCATTTGATGAACACTCATAAACAAAGGATCTGTTGTGCTAAAAGGAATTGTTGACTGCAACAAATTATACGGAGAGATCAAAGGAATTTGTCTGAAGGTAACAAATTTTTGTTGGATATGATGTTATTTCCTTTTCTTCTCTTCCTTGGTTATAACTACGTAAGGCAATCTCCAAAGCAAAGGATTTCAAACGCTTCTCTGCTTTTGTGTTCCCAGGTTTTGCAGAAGCTCTGTTTGTCTTTTCCTTGTGCATAGACAAAAGGCTATAGTGCAGAGCTTTACATATGATTTGGAAATAAATAATGGATGATTGACTAACCTGGTGACAAACTGCAGCAGCAGCAGCTGTGTGTGCTGGAAGTTGGCTGCAGCTTGGGAATTCTGCAGCTAAGCGGAGGCGGTGAGTGGTCTCTTCTCCTGTTCACAAAGGCTTGACACCATTTTCACCACAATCTGGTTCTGGCCCATTCAGAAAAGGGTGAAGCTTGCATTTTGCCCCCTGTGCTCATGAAGGGCTTGGTGAAACAAGTCTCACATGGCCAACAGTCCTATCAATGCCAATAAATGCACAAGGAGAACTGGAGTGAGGCCTGAAAGGCTACACTGCTTTCCAAATTGATATCTGGTTTTGAATGTTTATAGACCTGAGTCCTCATTGTGGCCCTTAGAGTTTCAATTTATAAAAAATCTCACCCAGCAGCATAAATGCTACAGCAAATTCACATCCAGCTAGAAAAATGCATTGCCAGAGCCCAGGTGCTCAGCCTCCTCAGCTCTCCTCAGATGCTTTTCCAGTTTCTTTAGAGCACTGTCCTGCAATGGGATGAATCTGTCCTGAAATATGTGAAATCTGTCCTATCTGCCTGTAACTTAATCATCCTCTCAGGTAGACAGAAACAATCGCATCTGGAGTCTGAAGATCTCACAGCTCTGTCTCCAGTACCTTTCTCAATATTTACAGTTTCACCCAAGAATACATCTCCCAGACATGAACAGGACCCTGGAAAGATGATTTTCTTCAGGTAACCTCTGAGCAGAAAGTTATGGGTTAGTGAGTCACAGATCCTAAAATATCCCTATGAGGCATGTGACCACTGCATAATCATCATCATAATAATAATAGTAATTGAGCAATGCAAGTGTACATTTTTGGAATGTGCTCAGGAAATCTCAGTGCAGAAGAGGAGACAGGTACACCCAGGCAGTTTTAGATGCTCAGGGCACCTGGTCACATCCAGACAGATCGGCACACCCTATCTACTACAGAATGAGCCAGGCAAACACCTTCTTCCGTGGCTAAAACCCCCTCACTGTTGGACAAAAGACAGGCATGACAGCTAATACTGACCAATACCACGACTTCACCTCATGACATACAGATAATGACTGCAAACTGGCTTTATTTTATCTGAATATGTGCCTTATTTCACAGTACAGTCTATCTATACAATATATAAAACTATTCTTTGTGATGCTTTCTGACAGGTTCCTGACAGGTTTTCAAGCTGGGTCCTAGGCAGCTGAAAGTTAGATCTGGACATCACATCAAGGAGATAGTTTCTCATGGTTTCCCTCCAGCACCATGTTTCCCTTGAAAAAGAAACAAAAGCAGTCCCTTACAAGAACAGTCAATGTGGTGACCTATGACTAACGTGGTGATGTATTTAGTACACCCAACACATTACTTAGCTCCTCTCTATGAGGAAGGAGCTGATGGGCTAAACTGACCCTTGCCAGTCATCCTGCACAAATATTATGGCAGCTTTAAATTCTCTGGTTGAGAGATGCTGCTTTCAGCTGAGGGATACTATGTTGGTATCAACATAGAGACTAAGTTGGCCAACAAACAGCAATCATTCCAACACTTCTGTCGTCATCTATTTTGGGATTTACACAGTTATGACATTCCTCTTCATGTTCACCAGCAATCTGTCAGGAAGAGAGCTTGGACATTTCTGAAAGAACTAAAAGATGGAAAACTCTTTTGGGTGCTTAGGCAGCTTTCGTGACTAAGCCGCAGTTTATTATGTTCAGTATAGTTCGTAACGGAGGAGCACCCAGTTTTGTCAATATTTTGTGACCTTCTCTGACTGTATCTGCACCCAAATTGGCAGTGACCACTGCCAGACTCTTCTGTAAGAAACCTTCAGCTTTGCATAGCTTGTTTCAAACATCCACTATTGACTAGTAACCAAATAAATCTCCAAGATTTCCTGAAGGGTAATGCATTGGGGGGGGGAGGGGGGCGTAGGGGGGGAAGATTGAGAGAGAAGGAAAAGTCATCGATGTCTCAGTGCCTCCTTTACCATACATAGAATCATACAATCATAGAACAGTTTGGGTTGGAAGGGACTTTCAAAGGTCATCCAGTCTAACCCTCCTGCAATGAGCAGGTGTCTAGATCAGGTTGCTCAGAACCACATACAGCCTGGACTTGAATGTCCCCAGGGATGGGGCATCCACCACCACTCTGGGCAACAATGTATGTCCGTGTGCTTAGACAAACTCAGAAGGAGGGAAGCAATGTTTACTCCCTATGTCACTTTGCCATACCGCCTTCCAAGAAGCCAGTCCTTTGATTGCTTTCACAGCTACTCAGATCTGAGGAATTAAACCTGTGTCAATCTCCTTTCCTCTGGCAAAGTCAGTGATCCAGCACAAGAGACATGCATTGTCCTTGTGAATTCTCCGAACAGCAATCAATAATGGTATGACGAAACCTCTGAGGTGACTTAAACATACTTTGTGCAATATGACTAGCAGACAGATTAAAGAATGACCCAGAAGGAATTTTCCTTCCTTAATTTTCAGGTCCCACACATCAGATCTACTCTAGCAACTGTGACTAATACCCACCAGCAGCACACCCACCTCCCAGGATTTCCTGATTCTAGATCACACATAATTTGAGGAAAATTTGCAAGTAACTTGTCTTATTCTTGGCTTGAGGTACCTGAAAATGCTGAGCACCCATTTCCGTGCAGATTTTGAGAAGATGTGTTTCATAGGACACCTGGAAATCAAAGTTCTTGAAATCATGTAATCATTGCTGAATGTCTTAGCTCTAATTTCTCTCACGCAAGGATTTCCAAAATTATACTTTTATTGCAAGTGTGATGCTATTTGCTTCTCCTTGAGGCTGTCTCTTAGGTTCAAGTGAGTACATGTATGCCTGTATCACACCATGACCGCAACTTCAGCAAGGTCTAGAAACCTAGCAGCAGTGGACTGACGTTGGTGGATAAAGTCCATGCTCTTAGCCCTGCTGACAAGGAATTCTCCAGGCATCAGTTCCAGACCTGCATTAACACCTTCACACGGAGCTGTGTCGCACAGCTATCCCAGTCTGCCCGGCACTGCACCACCACATGCCATCGCACTAGGCTGGACATACCTCATAGAGAAACTCCATTTTAAAATGTCCTCCTGATTGCAGAGGGAAGCTTGAATGCACTGTACCACAGCTGCAGCTTTGCCATGTAAGAGTGACGTGTAATGAAGAGATGCCTCACAATATAGTGTTGAGAAAAAAACCTCATTATATTTTCATCCATCCTCTAATTTGTAAGCATGAAGTATGACCTACAAAATATTTTGGATCAACAATGCACCCAAAATACATCTAACTGCTCTAATACACAATGCAGACAAGGTGTTTGGCCTACGAAAGCAATGCCTAGTGCTGCGAGCAGTCCTTCTGCTGTTTGTCTGTGCCAGGTGAGCAACTCCCTACTGGTACCCCCAAACCAGGAAATGCTCCAGGCATCAGCAAGCATCAACCCATTTTTTCGGCAGCACATGGGAAAATCTGATTCGGGAAAATCTGATTCATGAAAATCAAAGTCCTGAGTGGCTGGTGTTGGGGCAGTTGCTGGGCCTTTGCTGCTTCAGAGGACACAGTAGGCTTGTTTGCCCTGCACTTGTTTGCCCTGCAATATGGAGTTCACACACTGCAAAACACCTTGAGGCACTATGAGCAGCTGTAGGTGGTGGATGGCCACTGGTGGGATCCGGGAGAGGAAAGGGATAAGGGAAATTGGGATGAGAAGGGGAATGGAGGAGATGGGATCCCAGCCTGCAGACAGGGACATGGATGCAGCAGGGTGAGGCACCGGGAGGGGAAGAGGCTCGGATACAGGGAGCTGTAGACGTCGGGGTGGGGGAATCTGTGGGTCTGGCCGGTGTGGGAGCAGAGCGGCCAGGCACACACTCGGCACAAGGAGCGGGGCCAGGACACCCCGTTGCCGGGCGGGGGTAGCGGCGGGGCCCGCGGCGGGCGGCTGGTGTCGGGGGCGGGCAGGGGCGGGCGCCCCCGGGGCGGGCTGCGGGGCGGAGGGGAAGGAGGAGCGGCGGCCGCCGGAGGATGGGAGCGGGCGGCGGAGCCGGGCAGCGGCGCGGGGGCAAGGCCGGGAGCGCGGCGGCATCGCCCGCGTAGGGCGGCGTGGGAGCCGGGCGGCGCCGCGGCCATGGAGAGGGCGAGCCCGGCGGCGGGGAAGCTGAACGCCGGCGGCCGCGGGGCGGGCGATGGGCTCGGCCCCGCCGGGGGAGCCCAGCCGCGGGCGGCGGCGGCGGCGGGCAGCGCGGAGCCGGGCGAGCTCATCGGGCGGGCTCTGGATTTCAAGAGCGAAGGGGCGCAGTGCTACAAGGACAAGAAATTCCGGGAGGCCATCGGCAAGTACCACCGCGCCCTCCTGGAGCTCAAGGCTCTGCTGCTGCTGCTGAGCCAGGAGCCGCCCGGGCAGCGCCCTCCCTCCGCTGCCGCCGCTGCCGGGCTCAGCGAGGAGCAGCGGCAGGCGGTGGAGGCCATCGAGGTTGACTGCTACAACAGCCTGGCAGGTCAGCGGGGCCGCGGGGCGAGGGGCGGCGGGGACCCCACACCTTCCCCGGCAGCCCTCCCTTCCCCTCCGCAGAGCAGCGCTGCCTCACTTCTCTGCTCATTTCATCTCCTTTCCTTCCTCTGCCTTCCATTTTCATCGCTGCTCTCACGCCGGGCGCAGAAGGGCTGCCAGTGCCCCTCTCGCTGCCTGCTGCTCCAGGTAGCGCTGGCTGGGTGGGGAGCTCAGGCTCGGCCGCCCCTCACCCTGGGGCTCGGCTCCGGCCCTTCCCCGCTGGCTGGTCCCCGTGCCTTGCCCCGGGCCATAGGTGATGGGGAGGACACGGCGCGGCCGTGGGACGTTCAGACTTAAGAAATTGTGGGTCGTGGGCCGGCCGCGATTGCGGGCTGCTTTTTATCTTCAGCCGAGATGTCCTTCAGTGCCTTCACCGCAGCTCCCGTTCGGGTGTCTGTAATTAACAGTATTACAGGGAGGGAAGACTCCTTTTACCACATCTGATGTAAGGAAGGGGAAGGGTTTGGGCGCCACTGCAATAGCTCCAAATAGTACTAGATATAAAAAGATTTTTTTTCCCCTCTTAGCCATGAAAGTTGAAAGCAAATGTAGTCCTGGCTTCACGCTAGCTGCCAGGCATCACTGTGGTTAGTAGACATTTGATCATCTCTCCCTTTGCTCCCTGCTATCTGTTTAGAACAAGTGCTGCAGGAAGATGGAGGGGAGCAGTGGGGGGGTTAACTACTTTGTAGTTGGATTCTGAAGTCCTTACAAAGACAGGACTCCTGTTGACTTCAAGGGTCTTTGCCCAAGCAAGAGCTGCAGGATCAGGGGTTATTTTTGGCCCCTAGCATCTCATGGATTTTTTTCTTTCAAAGCCTGAAAGTATCTCTAAAACAAGAAATCATGCCTAGGTGTGTACAGGGAGGAGAGCGTTCATAACCTGGGCAAGGTGCACAAAATGTCAACCTTAATAAAGCTCTGATGTTTTCCAAAAGGATGACAGATCACTCATTACCCTTTATATCCTTGGAGGAAAAAATGGTGAAAATCAGGATGTTAGTGTGTCAGCAGTCACCATCACTTGGCTTTTGGGCTTCTACACAGAGTTGGTTAGCTTTGTTTCCTGTTGTCTAGTGCAAAAAAAAATAGGTGCAGAATAAAGCAAATGGTTTAAAATACCAAGCCAGCATCTTCTCTTGTCTTAATCCATGCCAATCTGTTGTACTTGATATGTCTTTTGGAATGTAATGGGGGGCACAATTTAGCTCCCTTTCATCATGTTTTCCAATACTGTTCCTTCAAAAGCCTGTTGAAATGGCATGGAGGGAAAGGCAGGTGAGATTCCAAAGCGATACCAGAATGCAAAGCTGTAATTTTGTCTTTTTCCGAATTTCTGTTCATGGGCTTATTAAAATCCGTTATATTTGGTAAGGATCATTTAGTTTGTACAGGGTTGTGCTAAGAGCCTATAATCTTCTGAACAATATAGCTTGGCGAGTTTCTGGGCTTGAAAAAGTACTCACAGGCAGTATCTCTGCTAGATACAAATGAGACATGTTAGGTAGAAGGTAAATGAAGGAGGAGGGATGGGATTTGTTTCTGTGGCACTTTCTGCTGGGTACACAGGTTCCACTTCCTAGGAATGTGTCTGCTCCTGCTGATGAAGTTGTCCTGTGCAATGGTCATTGTCCAGCTCATCTATTTACTGTTCTGGGTGTGTATGGGGATGTGGGTTTTTTTTTGCTGTTGGTTGTATTGGATCTTGTCAGCAGTAGCAGTCAGTGTGAGAAACATGCTCCATCTTTAACGTAGATTGGAACAGATTTTTCCCTAAATTTAACCAGTGTGAACACAGGGGGAGATGAGCATAATTAACCCTGGAGTTGCAAGCAAGTGCTTTTCCTGGGATAACCTCACAGCAGGTCAAGCTGTCACTTTGCACAGGCAGTTGTCACATGTTTTCAGTAGATGGCATGCACCAAGCAGAGAATGGCATTTGTCTCAGAAATGCGTAGCTTCATGTTTGTCTGCTGGGCTGTCTGCAAGCAATGCTGAAGAAATGCCCTGTATGATGGAGAGGGGAGTGTGCAGTTAAGCTGGAACTGCAGTATTGCTACTCCTATCCCAGTCCCAGAGCTCCGATTCTAGCAGGAGCATCCATGAATTCATGTCTGAAGGGAAGAGTGGGGAGGGAGTTTCCCCAGAAATGTTACAATAATTAGTATGTCTTTCTAATGGCAACTTCAAGAGGTGCAGCAGTGGGACTTCATTTTCTAAGTGTGGTGCAGCAGAAGCCACCCATTTCTTCACACAGTGGGCAGGGGCACCAGCGCATACTGTTAGGGTTGAAATCAGTGTTATTTGTTGTGAGCAAAAGTGCTATTTGTCGTGAGCAGGGGTGTTTGCTTCTGAACACTGAATGGGTGCCTAAAGCTGCTTTTAAAATAAATAAATCTGCATAGTGCAGCGAGCATAGCAGCACTACATGTTAATTCTAGAGAAAGCAGTTTTCCCTTAGCTCTGATATGTACCCAGTAGCATTAGCAGCTGCCATCCAAGTGTCCTTGCTATCAAGTTCTCTTAGCACCTCCGCTTACTCTCTAAGCTTAGCATTTAAGAAGCCCACCTTGCTTTTGAACTGTCATTTGTCATGTGGCCACCACACATCCACCTGTCAGAGGTGTTTTGTGTTACTGATACAGATGCGCGCGCGCGCACACACACACACACACACTTGTTTAGAAGCAGCATACCGGTCAGAGGAGGGCATCGACTATATTTAGGTAAATATGCATTTAGCCAAAGAAGTAGGTGAGAAACATGCACCCAAAGGGGATTTGGGGCACTCTCATGGGTCAAGGCTGGGGTTGTTTTTTGTTTTAATCTGACTGATTATATGAGTAAGAACGTGGGCAAACAGTAAACTGTTGTCAGTGCCTGTATTGCCTCGCAGAATGTAAATTTAGGCACAAACCTGCACACAGATTGGCGTTTAGCTCCACTTCTTTTATAGAGCATCTTCAGCAGGCAGTTCTCTTACCGTGAGGTATGGTGGCCAGCTCTTTTCTTTCATTGGAGCCCCACAGCGTTTGGTGTGTTTTGTGAGGTCCTGTCTTGTGGAGCTGAGTGGCACCCCCAAACCTAAACTATTTAGCATATTTCAAAGGATCCCAGATCCTGGGTTTTGAACTCTAATTATTTTATTTTTGGTTTTACATTTTAATTCAGGATTTTCACTGCTTGCCATTGGCAGTACTGCTTGTATTTCTTTTACTAAGCTGCTAGCTAGGCTTCAGTTTAAGCTCCAAGGGTTTTGCCTACCATGTTCTTATATGGGCCTGCTGATAATCCTTCATCTTACCACAAGTGTCTCTGATAAATGTCACCAGAGGCAAGTGCAGCAGCATGGTCAAGGCTCCCAGAAATTGCTAGGGAAGGCAAAGATAAAGCCTACCAGCAGCATAGAGCCTTGCAGAATGAATGCAGGGTTGTAAGGCAAACAGTCCTTTCTTTATGACTCAGTAACTGATGATCTGTGACCTTGAGGAAGTCACTTGACCTCTTTTTCTCTCACTCAGCCCTATTGAAAAATAAAGAACAGGGACCGCAGTCTCATCCTTATGGTGCATTCAACTGGGTTTCCCCAAACATGTTCTTTCTAAAGAAGATGACTGTATAAAAAACGCCTTCAGAAAAGCGACTGGCCAAATATCCCTCAGGTCTTAGTTGCCTTTCTATTCCTACAGTATCTTTGGTCTAGAACAAGCTTAAATACTTTATATAATGCATGCAGGTAGGGATTATTTACCTACTACAAATGCAACCATTACTCTGATGGAACACAATGGTTATTTTATTCCAGCAGTATTGCCTAAAAGTTTACAGGGTCAAAAGGGCTATGTCTGCTCTGCAGAAAAAAACAAGTCCTAGTCATACCAAGGCAGCAAAATGCTAAGAGTAAGCATAGTTTTAACCTTTTCTTATGAGGGAATGTTGCAGTGTGATAAGCAAACCTTTGTTGGTTTTCCTAAGTAGGCAGAAATGCAAGAGCTAATCCTGGGAGGAGAAACAGAACCAGAGGGAGAACTGGGGATCAGGAGTGGTGCTGGGGGATCTGTGTTTCTAATCTTCCTCTTCTGCTCTAACCAGTTGTATTATCTTCACCAGATCTTTCCATTCTTCAAACCTCAGTTTATATGTCTGCATTTATGACTACTTGGGGTTACTGAGCGGCTTTGTTAAAAACATGAATGCAAATAAAATGTGTTTATGTCCCCATTCAGGTGTGTTTAGTGTACTATAGGAGTCTTGGCAGGAGGGCACACATAGCCTGCACAGGGTATTTAAAAGTGTAGCCATGCAAGATGCATCTCAGCCTGGATAATGAGGTTTTTCTACACTGGCAGAAGTGTGCACTGGTACCATTCATTACTATGTGAAGGCCATAGTGACAGTCCCACAAAACATGGCATTTCTAGCACCGTAGGAACCTCCTAAGCACCCCTGATCTCTAGCTCCCAAACATCACCAGTTGCACAGACTTTGGTGAGCAATCTCACTGGGAAATCCAAGTAAAAATACTTATAACACTTAATACAAGCAGAAATGTAACTAAATGTGAGAAAAGCTGGTAAAACTAAAACTTGTCTCCACTGACCACCCACTAGGACTCCTGACAAGGAGCCTCTGCTAAAATCCCGTCTCAGTATATAGCCGTTAACAAGTACAGACTCTACCAGGACATGTGGTGCTGTGGGTGTTAAAGCAGCCTTGGATTGTTGTTTGATGTGAAGGGTTTTTTTTTGCGTTGCATCAACAAAAAACACCCTCTGTAAGGATGCTCTGCAGTGGGAAAGAAAGACAGCAACAAACAGAGCAGGTCTGCACTTTCATGGACTGGGGGGGGGGGTGGGAGTTTCCCAACACTATGGTCAGCCAGAGTGTATGGGAGTATGCTGTTTTACAGGCCTGATGTAATTACTGCTCCTGGTAGGTGACACTGCA